TCCTACAGAACTGTTCAGAAATTCAGCAGTTCATTAAGTACGTATTACTTTCACTTTTGTCACTTAATTGTTCATAGATTGTGTCGCATCACATACAATTATGTCATTTACTTTCATTCTCTGTTAAACAGTGACCATAGGAAGGAGATTGATACCGACGGTCGAATCATACCATTGGATGAAATTCAATCGAAAGAGTTTCCAAAATGGTTTAAGAATAAGGTTCGTTTATAATTAATTTGCATTAACATTGTTAAGTCATTAAAAAGTGGCGTTTTATAGAATATTCATGTCTCCTTGCAGATGTTCAATATTCGAAAGCAGAATGAGCCAGAAGCGAATGACCAAATACTTTCACTTTCAAGTGGTTCAAGCTTCTCATGTCGAAGTTATCCTGGTTGTGTGGTCAACGGTGTAAAGTTTCTGACACGCAATCGGGATATAAATCGAAGTACTCAAAATAGTGGTGTTTGTGTTCGCGGACCTGATAACCAAATGTTTTATGGAGTTTTGGAGGACATTTATGAGCTGTCGTACTTGAATGACAATTCTGTTATGCTTTTTAAATGTCTTTGGTTTGACACTCGTCCGGAAAAGAAAATGATTCAACACTACAAAAATAAAATAAGTGTTTTTGTTAAAGAGACGTGGTACGAGAATGAACCTTTCATACTTGCATCGCAAGCAAAACAAGTTTTTTACGTAGATGATTTATTTAACGGTCTAAACTGGAAGGTTGTAGAACACTTTAGACATCGCCATATTTGGGACATCTCAGAAACTGACATTGATGACGTGATGATAGTCCAGGATACAGAATCTACAAATATTGAGTTAGTAGTGGAACTACCAGAGATTGACTCATTTGTATTGAATCGAGATGATGGATCGTCTAATGTTGTCACCTCCGATGTTGATGCAATTATGAAAGATAAGTTTCCCATAGTTGATGATTTTATTAATGATGAAGACGATGAAACTTTAGAGGAGTACATTGAAGAGGAAGTCATCGAATCTGAAGATTGCAGCCCAACATCCAATTACCTACGATTGCTCGTCCAGAACCAGTTAACCTAGACGCTCCTCTGCCTCCTTCAGATGATGACAGTTTTGACGATGATTCAGCTGTTGGCGATGCTGCAAACCTAGAGGAATAGTTCTGTTATATGTTCTGTATGATTTTTCACTTTATTTAGACTTTTATATTTTGTTGAACATTATATATGCACTTCATGTAGTATTCATAATATATTTTATAAATTTATTTAGATTTATTGTTTTTAATATTAATTTATATTTTATTTTTAATGTATCTTAATAAATTATATTTAGTATGTAACATAATAATGTTTAATTAAAATTATTAAAAATTAATTAATTGCCATTTTTTTAAAAATTGAAAAAAAAATTATTTAAGTTTTTGCGACGACATTTTTATACTTGTCGTCGCAAAAAAATTTGAATTATTTGCGACGACTTTTTGAAATTCTCGTCACAAAAAATATTATATCACGACAAATTAACCAACGGCGTATTTGCGACGACTGTCGTCGCAAAAGAAAAATATCGTCGCAAATGTATTTGTGACGACACTGTGTCGTCGCAAATAAAGTATTTGCGACTATTTTTTTGCGGCGACATATCTGCGACGACATGTCGTCGCAAAAAATACTATTTACGACGACATTAGGGTTTTTGCGACGACTTTTTGTCGTTGCAAAAATCCCTTTTTTCTTGTAGTGTATTATGGACAACTTTGATATTGAAACTTTCTTTATTTCCTTTTGTTAAGATTGGTGAGCTGAAGAAACTAGTTGAAGAGGGTAAAATAAAGTACATTGGATTATCAGAAGCCTCAGCTTCAACAATAAGAAGAGCACACGCTGTTCATCCAATAACATCTACGCAATTAGAGTGGTCTTTATGGGCAAGAGATGTTGAGGAAGACATTATTCCTACCTGCAGGTCAGGCTGATTATTGGGAATTATGTGTTCATATTTCTAATTAGAAGTAATCATGTTTCCTTTAATTATCATAATAAATAATAATATTATTATACTACTATTAATTTTCAGGGAATTGGGCATTGGTATTGTTGCATACAGCCCTCTAGGAAGAGGATTCATGTCATCTGGACCTAAGATTGTTGAAAATCTGTCTGATGATGATTTCCGAAAGGTTAATTTTCGGATTATGTGTACAAGTACATAGATGATAGATGAATGCCTAAACTATTTTACATTCCATTTCTTTTGAGCAGTGCTTAGCCCATATAGACTCATTGAGCTCTCTATTAAAAAAAAAAAAAACTATTATATTACACTTATTTCAAAAAAAAGTTATTTACTTGTGTGTGACATTGTCTAGCGCCTTGTGTGTCACAAATAGTACTGCTTATTGAATTAGTATTGTACAATTTGTACTGCCTAATAACTCTTTACATTATGCATCCTGCATAAACTAGGATAACTATTTTGTGGCCTAATAACTCATTTCATTATGCATCCTGCGTACACTCGGATAACTATTTTCTGGTTACCTCCAATTTCATTAAGAGAGTACCCAGGTAATTCTGAAATGAGACAGTTTAGCATACTAGGATCCGAGATCTGATGATTTGCATACACTCGTAAATTAGGTTCATTTGCGTTTTTCAAATCTTCCATGAAACATTATGATAACATTTTTGTTAAAGCCATTGCTAACACCTTTGCGATGCTAATACATGCATGCTTATTGCAGACTCTACCCAGATTTCAACCCGAAAACCTCGATCATAATGGAAAGGTATTTGAGCGAGTGAATGAAATTGCCTCAAGAAAAGGATGTACTCCTTCTCAGCTGACATTGGCCTGGGTTCTCCACCAAGGAGATGATGTTTGTCCCATCCCCGGAACCACCAAAATTGAGAATTTTAACCAGAATATCGGAGCCCTGTCTGTTAAACTAACACCAGAAGAAATAGCTGAGCTCCAATCTTTGGCTTCAGCTATAAAAGGTGAGAGGTATGATGAAAGCTTAGTTACTTGGAAGAAGTCTGAAACTACTCCACCAGTATCTTCATGGAAAGCCGAGTGAAGAACTTCCTAGATATCTCCGCGTTTGATATAAATGTTGCTGCTCACTCCTTGACGCCTTTGAGAACTTTGTATTGAAGTGTGTTTGGTTATGTACTCTTGATTTTATGTGTTTGTAAGATTGAATAATTTCTATGAAGCAAGTTCGCGAAGATGTCGCGACTGCTTTTCAGAAACTTGAAATGTGCTTTTTAAGCATGGCTTCTAGTAAAAGTTTTTGAGGGCTTTTCCACTTGTGCACAAGTTTTGCTATGAATGGATATTTTATATACATTCTGATCTTAAAACCACACGAGTATGGTTTATAAGTGCGCATAGTTTTTTGTTTGTCTTGAAAGGGGGTGCTGCCTGTTTTATGGTAGCATCAAAGAAAGGTGTAAGAAACCTGATTTTATTGGTGCTTCACAATTTAGACCCTAGACATTAGCAAATGGTGGACCCTAAGTTTTAAAATCTGTTGCAATTTTGCATCTAATAAGCTAATGGGTGTCAACTAATGGACCAAATATTCCATGAGTTTATTGGTCTTAAAGAATGGTTAATATAAAAAAAAAATGCAAAAAACGCAACGAGATATATTTTTTCCTTTAAATCACAAGATCCATCTCATGTTTCTATAAAAAGTAATTTTCAATATAAACGTTGTTCTTATTGGCAAAACAAATCAAGATGGTTAAAGCCTTACAGTACCAATAATCGTCGTCGCTTTTCTACTCTCCTCAATTCTCTTAGCAACCTCTGTTAGCTATTCACTACTACAAATAGTAGATTAGCCTATTTAACGATGTTTTCTAGAAAACCGTCGTCTCACGTGAAATGTCTCAAGAAACATAGAATGGAGACTTCCGTATTTTGAAAATTTGTAAGCGCACATTAGATGAATGTTCTAAAACCATGTATAATGTAGTACTTTAGACGACGGTTTTTTTTTTTTAAACCATAGTCTAATGTCAAAAATTTTAGGAAAAAAAGGTGAATCTTTTCTCCCTTATTCTTTTTCTAAACATATTTTAAGTTTTATTATTTACTGTATAACTTTAAGCACTCTCTTCAGTCCCCCCTCTCTATAATATACAAAATCTAAGCCTTTTCTCTCATTCCTCCATCAAATTCCCTCTCTCTCTTCGTCTCACTATAACTCTCTCTCTCTCTCTCTTTCTAATTCTCCTTTCAACATTTAAAAATTTTCTCCCTAATCTCTCCTTCTCTTCTACACTGCTCACTCCCTTTAATATACATCCCTCATGTCCTCAACCTGTCACCTACATGAACCTCACAACCACCATGCCCATACATCGCCGGCTTATAACTCTCTCTCTCTCTCTCTTTCTAATTCTCCTTTCAACATTTAAAAGTTTTCTCCCTAATCTCTTCTTCTCTTCTACACTGCTCACTCCTTTTAATATACATCCCTCATGTCCTCAACCTGTCACCTACATGAACCTCACAACCACCATGCCCATACATCGCCGGCCGTCGTGACCTGTAAGCATATCCGCCACCATGTCTTAAGCATCGAAATTGAAGTACTTCTATTTGAAATTGGGTTTTTTTTATTATTTAAATTTAGACTTTTCTTTGAATTTAGGTATTTTTTGTTGTTCTATTTTGTTGAAAAACCTTGCCTATGTATGTATGAGAAGGATGATTTGTAACATCTTTCTTTAACAATGTTCAATATGTTGTTTAGTGAAATATTGTTTACGTTTTTATCACTTGCGCAGAATATTTGAGAAATTATTTTTTGAACAAAAAACTAGATTTTCGCTATTTTTTTTTTTGAAAAACTTTTGAAGACTTCTAATGACACTTTTTACGTAAACCGTCATTGAAAGTGGCACATTAGATGACCGTAGACTATCACCAGGAACAACCTCAAGATTCATCAGAAATTTGGGGAGCCACTCTTCTTTTGAAGCATCATCAGCTACCACGTACTTGGCTTCTATTATTGAGTCAACAGTGCAAATTTACTTGACATTCCTCCAAACGATGACGCCACCTTCCAGAGTAAAGATAGACCTTTGAAGTCGATCTTCTCGAATCTAAACAGGATTAAAAATTTCAAGAATGTATATCCAGGTGTCATACATAAGGCTACCAACCGCTGAAGCATAAGGTACCTTAACTATATGCTCTTGTTCCGCAATATCTTGGGACAAACACTTTGTGAAAGTGTAATTCCAGACCTAGATGGTTGCCCAGATAAGATTTGAAAATGAAATACACTTGATTAATATTTATGTTTTTTTATATGTGAGTTATGATACATAAGGGATGCCATTATATATACAATACACAAGAGATCATAAAAGGGAAAAGAATAAATATATTGATTTACATGGATTTGGTTTCCAATGGTCAAGAGCAGATCATGGGTTATGAAAGGAAATCTAGCTGGTTGTCTCTAACGGTTATGAGAAAATTAAGGGAGAAATCATGATTGAGGAAATCCTTAAGATATGGCAGCATATTGAACTATGTTTGATATCAAAGACTTGATTCTTTCCTTTTAGGATTCCTGAGAATTGAACATTGCTGAAGTTGGTATCTTTTCACCCTTTTTCAAGCTCATGATGGAATGTACTCCGAGCTTGTCTCTGAAATATCGAAAGGGTAGTTTAGAAAGGGGTTTGGTGAAGATGTTTGCAATCTGATGAGTTGATGAAATGTATATAGTTGTTAGTGCTCTTATGGCAACTTTTTCTCTTACAAAGTGGTAGTCTATCTCGATATGCTTTGTGCGAGCATAGAATACTGGATATATTATCATGTATAGAGCACTTTTGTTGTCACAGAAAAGTTGAGGAGATTCGCTTAGTTTGATTCCCACGTCTCTAAGCAGGAAGGTGATTCAGACTAGTTCTGCAGTTGTTGATGCCATTGCTCTATATTCTGCTTCTGAGCTTGATGTTGACACTGTTGGTTGTTTCTTCGATGACCAAGAGATGCAATTTGCTCGAAGATAAATGCAAAAGCCTATTGTAATTCTTCTAGTGTCAGGACACCCAGCCCAATCTGCATCACAGAACCCGTATAGCTTGAATGGACTTTGAGCAAGGAATTTGATTCCACAGTGCATTGGCTCCTTAAGCTTTTGACACACCTTGTTGACTGCTTGTACAATGTCCGGTCAAGTATAGGTTAGATATTGCAGTGCACCAACTAAGCTTATGTATTCTATTGCATTTACATGTTTTGAATCTTGAGGCATTGGTTGAGGTTTTAGTGCCATCGGTGTGTTGAAATGTGAACTTTCTAAGAGTTTTTCTCTGTTGAGGAGATCCTTGGTGTACTTGCCTTGTGAGAGTGTAATGCCTTCAGGAAAGTGTTGAACTTCTAGTCCAAGGAAGAAGTGTAATTCTCCTAAATCCTTTAGTGCAAATTCTGTGATGAGCTTGTTTATCAGGCTTTGTATTGATTCTTCATTGTTTCCTGTAATCACAATGTCATCAACATAGATTAACATTACTAAAATAATTTTACCCTGTCTTAAGATAAACAAGGAAGAATCTGCCCTACTACAAACAAAACCAATATGAATCAAGAACTCTGATAATCTGTCAAACCAAGCACGTGGTGCTTGTTTGAGTCCATAGAGGGACTTGTTTAGTTGGCACACGTGATCTGGTAGATTTGGATTTTGGAATCCTGGTGGTTGTTCCATGTATATGGTTTCTTTCAAAAATCCATGAAGAAATACATTTTTAACATCCAGTTGCCTCGGTTTCCAGTTTGCTGAGACTGCAATGGCAAGAACAAATCGAATAGAAGTGGCTCTCACAACCGAGCTATAAGTTTCTTTATAGTCTAATCCTTCCACTTGAGTGTATCCCTGTGCCACTAATTAGGCCTTATATCATTCTATCATCCCATCTTCTTTATATTTTATTCAGAAGATCCATTTTGAGCCAACTACATTGCTAGTTGTCGGTCTGGGCACTAGTTTCCACGTATGATTTTCATGTAGAGCTTGTATTTCTTCTTTCATTGCATTATGCCAGTGAGGTTGTGTAAGAGCTTTTCTGTGATTTTTTAGTGTTGTGTCTTCATTGACTGGAAGGAGAGATAGATGATGTAGTTTGCTTCTTATTTGAATCCTTTGGTTACTAATTTGTTGTGTCTCATTTGCCAAGCTTGGATCTAATTCTGGATTCCTTCTCCGCTTCATTATGGTGATCATATGGTTGTCTTCTGGGCCTTGAACTGAACCTGCATCATGGATATTAAAGTTATTAGTTAACTTGTTGTCCAAATGAGGAGGTTGCTGCCTTTTTGTGAGATCACTATCAGCCATTGACTCTGCTTGTTCTAAAACATCAGCTTCTTCATTGTTGATTTCATTTTCGGTGAAATGTTGTACTTCTGAGACTCCCATGTCGATATCATTTTCTGTGGCATCATTGGTAGGGGTTGCAGGTTCCATATTGCTTCCTAATTCTATCTCATATATTGTGATGTTTCCTTATTATCTCTTTGGGAATCAGCTTCATTTTCTTCATTACAAAAGATGCAGGATTTCCCTTTTTGAATTTTATCCTCAAGGTCTCCAGTTGGTTTAAATTGTGTCCCTTTTTGAATTATGTGGTCATGCTTTTCTTTCTTCCATGCGTCTAAGTCAGGGAACGTTGTGACTTTAAGATTTTCTTGCAGCAAAATTTCTTTGTGGGGTGCATAAGGAAAGACATTTTCATCAAAAACTACATGTCTTTATATCCAAACCTTGTTGGTTTGTGGATCAAGACATCTATAACCTTTGTGAACAGGACTGTAACCAATAAAAATGCAAGGATACGTCTTCTTTGCAAACTTATTTTTCCCATAGCTTCTCAAGTATGAAAAACACTTGCATCTAAAAACTTTCAAACTCCCATAGTCTGGGTGTCGGTTAAGCAATTTAAAGAATGGTGTTTCCATGTTTAAGGATTTAGATGGCATACGATTTATTAAAAAGCATGCAGTGAGAAATGTATCCACCTAATATTTGGTTGGTAGATTGGCTTGACAAAGCAAGGTGAGGCATGTTTCTACTATATGTCGATGCTTACGTTCCGCCACTCCATTTTGTTCGGGTGTGTGGGGATATGAGAAATGGTGGAGG